TAAAAACTTCTGTAGCAGATTCAATGCGATTCCAATCAAAATCCCAATGGCATTCCTCACAGAAATAGAAAGAGCAATTATGAAATTCATCTGGAAAAATAAAAGACCCAGAATAGCTAAAGAAATCCTTAGCAGGAAGAGTGAAGCAGGGGGCATCACTATACCAGATCTTAAACTATACTACAGAGCAATAGTAACAAAAACAGCATGGTACTGGCACCAAAACAGGCTGATAGACCAATGGTACAGAATAGAGGGCACAGAGACTAACCCACAAAACTACAACTACCTTATATTAGACAAAGGTGCTAAAAGCATGCACTGGAGAAAGGATAGCATCTTCTACAAATGGTGCTGGGAAAACTGGAAATCCATATGCAACAAAATGAAATTGAATCCCTATCTCTCACCATGCACAAAACTCAACTCAAAATGGATCAAAGGATCTAGAAATCAAACCAGAGACTCTGCGTCTAATAGAAGAAAAAGTTGGCCCTAAACTCCATCACGTGGGATTAGGCCCCAATATCCTTAATAAGACACCTATAGCACAAGAATTAAAACCAAGAATCAACAAATGGGATGAATTCATACTAAAAAGTTTTTTCTCAGCAAGAGAAATAATATGTGAGGTGAATAGGGAGCCTACATCCTGGGAACAAATTTTTATCCCTCACACATCAGATAGAGCCCTAATCTCTAGGGTATACAAAGAACTCAAAAAGCTAAACACCAAAAAAAAATAAATAACCCAATCAACAAATGGACCAAGGATCTGAACCGAAACTTCTCAGAAGAGGATATACAATCAGTCAACAAATATATGTAAAAATGCTCACCATCTCTACAGTCAGAGAAATGTAAATTAAAGCTATTCTAAGATACCATCTCACTCCAGTAAGAATGGCAGCCATTATGAACAACAACAAGTGCTGGTGAGGATGCAGGGAAAAAGGTACACTCAACACATTGCTGGTGGGACTGTAAATTGGTGCAGCCAATTTGGAAAGCAGTATGGAGATTCCTTGGAAAGCTGGGAATAGAACTACCATTTGACCAGCTGTTCCTCTTCTCACACTATACCCAAAGGACCTAAAAGCAGCATACTACATGGACACAGCCACATCATTGTTTATAGCAACACAATTCACAATAGCTAGTCGGAGGAGCCAACCTAGATGCCCTTCAATGGATGAATAGATTTTTAAAAATGTGGCATTTATACACAATGGAATATGACTCAGCACTAAAAAATAACAAGATCATGGCATTTGCAGGGAAATGGATGGCATTAGAGCAGATTATGCTAAGTGAAGTTAGCCAATCCCAAAAAACAAATGCTGAATGTCTTCTCTGATATAAGGTGGGTGACTCAAAATGGGGTAGGGAGGAAGAGCATGTGAAGAAGATTACCTCTAGATAAGGAAGAGGTGGGAGGGAAAGGGAGGGAGAAGGGGAATTGCATGGAAGAGGGAAGGAGACCCCCTTCGTTATACAGAATACATGTATGAAGATGTGAGGGAAAAAAAAATAGTGTTACCTTAGATTAGGTAAAGAGAAGTGATGGGAGGGGAGGGGAGGAGATGGGAGGATAGGAAGGACAGTAGGATGAAATAGACATTATTATTACTGTGTGTATGTATGTGAATGCATGACCAATGTGATTCTGCAACCCGTACACTCAGAAAAATGAGAAATTATATCCCATCTGATTCAAATGTATGATATGTCAAGGTCATTGTACTCTCAAATGTAACTAATTTAAACAAATAATAATAATAAAAAAACCTCTGCAGCCTGAGCACAGCTACAGAAAATGGCTAATATGAAAAAGTTGAAGAATAACTAGTACTCCAATTATATGAATTTGGAAGAAAGCAACACTTGTAAGGCACAGATCACTGGTAAGGCTTGTGTGCCAGAATATGAATTTAGTGGAGCCATTTAAAAAAAAAAAAAAAGCATGGGAAGTTGAATGTTAGATAGCTATTCTAAGATACCATCTCACTCCAGTAAGAATGGCAGCCATTATGAACAACAACAAGTGCTGGTGAGGATGCAGGGAAAAAGGTACACTCACACATTGCTGGTGGGACTGTAAATTGGTTGCATTCTCATCTTCACTGGAGCAGTATTCACAGTAGCCAAGAGAAGGAAACAACTAAAGTGCCTTCTGGATGCAGGGTACACCGGGGGATTTCTCCCAGTTTTAGAGCACTCAGCTACTTCCCTGAGAAAGTATGTTCCCTAAATTTAGACTGCTCGCTCACAAAATGAGCCATATTCACTGTACTCATATTCACTGGACTCTCAGGAGACATTAGAGGTGTTAGCTGAGGGATCCTCATATCAGACAGTTCCAGGAAAATACCAGAAGGGGAAATTAGAACCCTCTGGCATAAATTCCACAAAGGGGACACTCAGCACAAAGACATTCTGACAGGCTGTCTGGCCTTGAGAGACAAAGGGAGAATACAAACATATTATTGCAAAGGTCAAGTGATTCTTCTCTACTTTTCTATCATGAGAAATGCTCATAAACAACAACAACAAAAACCTTTGCTTTTGATTCTTTCTATAGTACTGGGATTTGACACAGGGGCATGTTAAATATGAGCTACATACACAGCCCTTGTTTTAGAATTTAAAGACACGTCTTTCTAAATTGCCCATGGTCTCCCTAAATTCCTGATGTTGACCTTAAAATCGCAATCTTCCTGCCTTAGCCACCTGAGTCTCTGGAATTACAGGCAAGTGCCATTAAACCCAGCCAAAAACAAAACAAAACAGAAATCCTTTAAGAAAATTCCATCCATGGGCTGGGGAGGTAGCTCAAGCGGTAGCACGCTCGCCTGGCATGTGCGCAGCACTGGGTTCAATCCTCAGCACCACATACAAATAAAGATGTTGTGTCCGCTGAGAACTAAAAAAAAAAAAAAATGAATATTAGGAAAACTCTCTCTCTCTCTCTCTCTCTCTCTCTTTAAAAAAAAAGAAAGAAAATTCCATCCAGTTCTTGGTAAAACAATTAAAAAATACTGTGCTCATTTGAAATGTAATATGGGAAAAATAATTGATAATACTGAGGAGAGGGGAAGTTATCATTGGGAATGTGGAGAGGTAGCTGAAATTTTAAGATTTTGTCGACATCTACATAAAGGTTTAGGCTGGGAGACAGGGTTCTGGATTTGACATTTTGTTTCCATACATTGAGATCATTCAGGAGGACACAAGCAGAATGGAACTCAACTGTAATCCCAGCAACTCAGGAGACTGGGAAACAAGTTCAAGACCATACTGAGCAACTGACTCAAAATAAAAAAAGAAAAAGAAAAAAGTACCAGGGATGTAGCTCAATGATAAAGAACCTCTGGGTTCAATCCACAGTAATACCATCCTCCCAAAAAAGAAAGAAAAGCAAGCTCATCAGGAAAGAAAAACTGAGACCCCCTACAGAAAACACTCCCCTCGTGCAGGAAAACAATACACGGAGTTGAGATTTGGATGATCATTCCACTCCACAATCCCCCACCATCTGGGAAGGTGCTGGAATGCTGGTACATATGTGCTCAGATAGGACTTCAGGTATGTAGAACTTATGAGAAAACAAAAGTCATCAGAACCACATCAGAGACTCAATTGCACATCCATGTGTACATGATAAAACTCATCATTATAAAGATGACAATTTTTCCCAAATTAACCTACAAAATATATTCTCACCAAAATTGCTGTCACATATATGAATATATCACAGTAAATTCTAGCTTTATGTGTATTTATAAAGCAGTAATTTTAAAACTATGAATAAATGGAAGAGAGGGAAGGGAAGAGGGAAAGGGGAATCTGGGTAATGAAGTGTTTTGGTTATAGATATTAAAGATTTTTTTTTTCCATTCCAATTCATCCTGAGGATAGTCCACGTTTTGCATTTACTGTCCCTGCTCTGAATCATGAAGGTCCTTTTCCTTTAAGGAATTTGAGCAGCATCCTTTTCCCTGCTGTGACTTTGACCTCTCACTTACCAACCAGGCAGCACCTGTAGGTGGCCTCATTGGTGTGTATCGGATCCTTCTAGCAAATTATATTCCATACGTGTATGATTATTATGTCAAAATGAACCCAATATTATGTATAGCTATAATGCATAACAAAAAAATTCAACATTCTTTACTTTTAATGAAATAAGTAACCCAGGCATAAAGTTCTAAAATTCATCCACAAAGTTATATATAACTTTAGCCAAGAAACTTTTCAATTATAAGAGTAAAATAAGTACTTATCATTACCTGACATTCATGTATATTATAAAACTATACTATATTACCATAATACCAAGGAATCACAATGAAAGCAAAATCAATATATGAATCCATATAATGTAAAAATTTATACTTAATTACAATAGAAAAAGTCTAGATAAATCAAACCATAAAAAGGCCAATCTCAGCAACTTAGCTAGACCTGTCCCAATCAATCAATCAATCAATAAATAGTACCAGGGATATAGCTCACTAGTATAATATCCCCAACTTTCGGTAACTTAAAAAAATAAAAAATGAAAAGGAGCTAGCTCAGGAAGAAGCGAGGTCCCTGTGGACCGGCGCTTCTCTGCTGCAGGAAAACGTGGAGATGTGGTTATGACAACCGTCCCACCGTCAATCACCAGCGTCGCCAAGAGTCCGGGTGGCAGGCGCACACCAGCCAGAGAGTACTAAGGCAGGGGCTGCGGACGCCCAGAGAGCATGAGAAGGTGCCACTGACATGTCCCCACCTAGGAGGCCCGT